TCTTCAGATTGAAAGAAATGATCATTGATTATTTAATTCTATACATTACTAGTTTGTATGCAAGATCAAGGAACAACTTTAGATTATTATTTTAGCAAAAGCAGGACATGTACAATATGATATATATTTTTAATTTTTTATATACCTGGTATTGTGGGATCTGGGGATTCAAAGTCATTGACATGTAAATGATACAGAAGCGAAAAAATAGGATTGAATTAAAGCACACAGAAATTAGAGTATTTTTTATTATTATTATATTACCTTGAGCAGCTGCTCTTCCGGTGTCAAAGCTTTCTCTATTGTACCTTCCCGCTTTTTGAATGACATCCTTTCAAATTTCAATGAAGCTAAAGCGGGATGAATATTTAACACAATTAATCACCAACAATCAACTGCAAAATTCAAATTAATTACGAACAAAAAATATATATTTTGTCTCTGGAAAAATAAAAACAATGTGTAAGACAAATTCATCTATAAAATTCTCAGTAATCAAAACAATGTCATGCCCTATATTAGAATTACAGGAAGAGAAATAAAATACCTGTTTGCCATGAAAATACAGATTCAGAGGTCATTGCAATTGTCGAAATCAATATCCATTTAGAATTTCGCCCTCATCTGAAAATCCCCAATAACCCTTTTTATTTTTCGTTGTTATTATTTATGGAATAAAAAAGTAACAGATTTTGGATTCGATAAATTAGGAAAGAAAACCATCATAAGTATTGTGAAGTATTTATATTGGCGTAAGCAGAGAAGAAGCATTTGCCTGCATGCCTGCTTGCTTTGGCATCTTTAACGCCTGCCCTTTCTTTTTTGTTTTTCAAAATTTTTTGTATTTATATTTAGGAATTATTTTGGCCTGAATTTAATATTAAATAAATTGACTACCAGGTGTACGAACGAATTGGAGTCAAGAGTTTGGGAATTGTGCTCGAACGAGAGCAGATTTAGGGCCGTTATTGAATTTTTCCTTAACACTATGTTTGGATGAGGTACTTTAGAGATGAGATTTGAGATATGTGGAACGTGAAAGTCCCGTATGGTCAAACTAACATGTTTGGCAAAGTTTAAGAGAGATTTGAGAAATAACAGGGAACTTTAAAGTGGAACTTTGGGAGGTCATGGCAATTTTCCTCGTCAGAATTCGACCCTAATAAATCGGGTATAAATGATAAAAATTGAGTATGCGGACAGCTTTAGGAAATTTTTTGGGTGTGGTGATCAGGGAGGGGCAAGGATGGTATTTCAATTCCCTCCCCGAACCCGCCCCGTTTAGAATATATATATAGTATATATTATTAGAGTGACTCTAACAAAATTTTATATTTCATATATTATAGTACTATATATAATTAAATTTAGAGGAATCTCTTTAAACTTATTAGTTATATATATTTGGTTAAAAAAGTAAATATGTTGCACTTATAGTATTTTTTTCCCATTAAAAAAAAATTAGTTTTTATTTAATGTGAAAGAAAGCTTTCCCCAATAAAGGTGGGGATGGAGAAAAATGCTAACGGGATTGGGGATGGGGATGACATACCCACATCCCCATCCATAATTAATAGTTGATAAATGTTGGGTTCGTTTTGTTAAGAGCTACAAGGGGCTTATTGGATTGCTACGAGGTGGGCTGGGCTCTCTTTCACCTTTGCCTAAGTTTGCGGCAGGACCCTAAACACTCCGATAGAGTTGAAGCCTTAGGGAGTGCTTTGGTCATCTTCAATGGCTCCTCAGAACATTGCATGTGTTGATGATAAGGATACAGGGGGTACTAGGAGGAAGTTTCTCAACGTGGAAATGTGTTGCCGCTTGTTTGGATATGTATTCAGCGGCTTTGAAAAGAGTTGAAGATGTTGCAGAGACTGTATAGGCATGGCATGAAGGCTTGCTTTGGTGAATGAAGATACGGTTAGGCTTGGCATGAGAGGCTTGTGGCGTGGGAGCTAAGAGCCCCTAAGTTCAGCTTGGCTTGAGAGGATGTCTGGAATAGGGCCTTTTGAGAGAGAAGAGAATAAGATGGAAGAGATGGTGCTTGAGCTTGATGTTTCCAGCAATTATAGGATATCTTGGTCTCTCTGGTCATGGTTTCTCACCAAGATGATGACTACGATTTCAGCTTGGCTTTAGAGAATTGTTAGAATAAGATACTTAAGAAGGGAAAAATGGGTGTTTCTGATCTGGAATGGGGCTTTTGAGAGAGAAGTGGAGAAGTGGAGAAGTGAAAGATTAAGGCTTGAGCTTTTGTGTTTCCAGCAGTTGGAGGAGAGGCTTGCTCACTCTGCTTGAGTTCCCCCTTTGCTGGTTAATCTATGACCTTCTTTTATAGGTGCTAGAACCCTTCAAACCCTAGCCATTTCTTCCTTTTTGAGCCAACTCTCCTCTCCTCTTCCCCTTCACTTTCTCCAATTTGGCCTTAATCAGTTAAATTCCCTCAAATCAGCTAAGCCCATGGTTATTGAGACAAAACACATTTTGGTGCCCCAAAGCCTTCCTATAGCTAAGCCTTGCAGCAACCTCCATTCTTGGCAATGCTCTCCTTCGCTTTCTCTCCTTATTTTCTTACGATAGCTTATAGTGTAAATTTTGGGTGAAGGTGCTGGTCAAATGGGAGAAAGACGTGAGTTTCTGCCTATGTATCTAAGTGAATGATATTTTAAGGATTGTGGTTTGGTTTTAAATAAGCTGGTTTGGCTTCAACAAAAAAGGGGATGGAATTCTCTCTCTACTTACCCATGTAGTTGGGCTCAAGAAAGTGGGCTTGGGTTTTAGTATCCCCAAGCTACCCAAAACCTCCACCTTTCGAACCCTCAATGGGCCTTCTGGACCCTCGTATCCATCCACACCACAAACCGCTCAGCAAGCCCAGACATGTATGTGGCTTGGGCCTACTTAAGCTTGTCGGATGGTTTGGCACTAAAGGGAGTCGCTGGGCATGACATATTATTTGTGTGCTTATGCTTGGGCTACGATGTATTGCAGTGGCTTGGGGCTGTGTCAGATAATGCTTGACGAAGCAGTGGGCTAGGTGAGCTCGAGCATGTAACATTGTTAAACTTTACAGGTTTGCATGTGAAATTGGTAAACCCATACCATGACCTCCCCAAGTGACAAATTGTAGTCTCGCGTGGCATGACATGAATATATATATGATGGGGCTCCGCATACCCCAGCTAGGCTTCTTTTATAGCATGATAATGCATTGGGCCTAAAATATGCATGGACCTTCCTTGAGATTTTTTGGGCCACAATAATAAATATACATCTCAAATATTGACCAATTCTGAGAGTAATTATAATATGGTATTCCATGTGATCTTACTACGATATCATATAATGATTTCTCCAATAAATTTGGAGGTGTGAGATGTAGTAGTTCATGTCGTGGATGTCAGCGGTTTAAGTCCTCTCAATAAATGTCCCAAGGATGTGAGTGATGGTTCATTTGACATATCTGTTTACCCTGAAAAATGAAACAAAGCCTTAGAGTAGACTTTGGGAAAGTGTGAGTTGTGCACCAAGTAAATGACTTTAATCAAAAGATTGTGAATTGAAACGGTAAACTAAATCCATGAGGTTCTTTCTATGCCTTAAGACAAATAAGGACTTCATAATTTCTCTAATACAATGGAAAGGGCAATAAAGGTAACTAAAATAGTGAAAACAAATGAAAGCAAGTAAAACAGATCGACCAGAACTACAAGTTGCCACCACCTTGTATCAATCCTCGCTCAAAGCAGAACTAAGCAATGAGTGACAAACGAGTAAGGATCGGACTGTGTGATTCTAGTGGATCAAAACAAGACAAGATGCAACTAGAATGGCCTTCAACTAACAGAGTTAGTTGGCAATTGATACCAAGGAGGCTTGACAGAGCAAATAGAAGAGAGACGAATGTGTTTGTCTAAAAGCTTTGGCTTTAGTGTAGAGTTTGTGGTTGAAAAGTTGGGTTTGAGAAAGCTGATGTGCCTCCTTTATATAGTAGTGTAATGTTGCGTAGATTCAGCTGCACCAAAATGGGTTCAACTGCATCCTCAACTTGTGATACTCGCAAGTGCACGAACCGTTGATAGTTTAGCGTATGTAAGTGCGAGGTCGATTCCACAGGGATTGGTGATTGAATGATCCAATTCAGTTTTCCTACACAAAACATAAATAAAAACAAAAGAAACAAAACAAGAAGAAAGAATGTACATTACAAGAAAAATAAATTACAACTACGAAAACATTAAGGAAATTAAGAGAACTTTGAGGAAGAGAAGAAAGTGTTGAGAACTTTGAGAGGGAGAAGAAAGTATTGAGAACTTGGAGGATTTTGGAAGAACATGTGTTTGAGAGCTTTGAGGATTTTGGAAAGGTTGAGACATGTGTTTGAGAGATTTGGAGACTTTTGGAAGAGAGGAGAGATGTGTTTGAGAAAGAGAAGGGAGGAGTGTTTGGGAACATTGAGAATTTGATGAAGGAATGGAAGAAGTGTTTGGAGAGTGTTTGAGAATATGTAGGCTTTTTGGAGAAGAAAGGAAAGTGGTGTTTGGGAACTTTGTGGATTTTGGAAACTTGGAAAATTTGAGAACGTAGAGACGGGAGGAGAAAGTGTTTGAGAAGTTTGGAGAATGTTTATGAACTTGGAGAATTTGAGAACTTAGGGAAGGGAGAGAAGGGTGTTTGAGAAGTTTAGAGAATTTGATGAAGGAATGGGAGAAGTGTTTGAGAACATGGGGAATTTGGAAGAGAATGAGAATTGTGTTTGGGAACTTTGTGGATTTTGGAAGAAAGAGTGTTTGGAAAATTGGAGAACTTTGAGAACTTTGAGAACTTTGGAAGGGAAGACACATGTGTTTGAGGAATTGGAGAATGCTTGGAAGAGAATAGAGAAATGTTTGGGAAGTGTTTGAAGATTTAGTAAAAGGAACATATTACAACAATTGAGAACTACAAAGGGAAACTAAGAGAATTTGAGGGAGAGAAGGGAAGGGAGCTCTAGAGAAGTG